GAGGAGGAGGGGGGCGAATGTGAGGAGGAGGAGGAGGGTGTCTGTGAGGAGGAGGAGGAGGAAGAGGAGGAGGAGGGGGCGTCTGTGAGGAGGGGGCGTCTTGGGTATGAGGTTGGATTGGCATCCCCCCTCCGTCTGGAGCTGCTGGAGCCTGGCTGTTAGAGCCCAGATGCTTACAGCCTGGGGGACCTTCTGAGCCCACGTGGCCCCACCCTGCTGCCTTGTCTCCGCAGCGGCCACCGCGCCTGCACGCCCGGCCGTCCCAGGCCCCCGCCGTGGAGGTGGTGCCTGCCGGAGCCTCCTACAACCCGTCCTTCGAAGACCACCAGGTACCCCCACCCGGCCTCTCCTCCCGGCTCCCTCTGTGCTGGGTGGTTCTGGGAACTCCAGAGGGACCGGGACACTCTGGGCCTGTCCTCACGGGGCTCACGGTCCAGTGCAAGAGACAGACCTGTTCCCACACAGTGATGACCAGAGTGGCCGCCCAGCCTGAGGGGTCAGGAAGAGCTCCCTGGAGTGGGGGACACCTGAGCTGAGGCAGGGGCTGAGGAGGGGTTTGCGGTGGGAGGAGGGGAGCAGGTTTTCCAGGTGGTGGGAACAGTGTGTGCAAACTCACAGAGGTGAGTGAGGCCGTGGCGCCTTCTAGGAGGTCTGTGTGACAGATGCAAAAGGCTGTGGTGACAGGGTGACACACTGGCAACCAGGTGGCGGTTATTCAAGGTCGAGGCTGGCTCAGTGATGGGAAAGTCTGGTTCAGTCACTGTGCATTTAGCAGGCATGTGTTGGCACAGGTGCTGTGGACAGAGGGGACAGAAATTCCTCCTTTGGCCGGGCATGGTGGCTGACGCCTATAATCCCAACACTTTGGGAAGCTGAGGCGTGCAGATCATTTGAGGTCAGGGGTTCGAGACCAGCCTGACCAACATGGCGAAACCCCGTCTTCACCAAAATTACAAAAAAAAATTGGTGAGCACGGTGGCGCACGCCTGTAGTGACAGCTACTCAGAAGGCTGAGGCAGGAGAATCGCTTGAACCTGGGAGGCGCAGGTTGCAGTGAGCTGCGATCGCACCACTGCAGTGCAGCCTGCGTGACAGTTCCACACTCTAACTCAAAAAACAAAAACTATGAAGCATGCCGGCCAGACCCTCCTTCACAGACGTGCAGAGCAGGTGTGAGGGCGAGGGTTTGAGGTGCCCCGGCTCTGCAGGGTGAGTGTGCTGGTAGACCCCCGGGGGAGCCTAGCCGGGGCGGCATCTGTGGTCAGCGGGTGAGGAACAGATGCGAGGTAAGAGGGTCTAGTCTCAGTCCCAGGAGAGGGCCGGGGACTGGTCCCCACTCCCTGCCTCCCGTCCCTTGCAGACCCTGCTCTCAGCGGCCCACGAGGTGGAGTTGCAGCGGCAGAAGGAGGCGGAGAAGCTGGAGCGGCAGCTGGCCCTGCCCGCCGTGGAGCAGGCCGCCACCCAGGTGAGCCCCACACCTGCCCACTCCCTCCCCGGGCCTCCCCCGCACCCTGACACTGCTCCCTGCTCTCCGCCTCCCAGGAGTCCACGTTCCAGGAGTTGTGTGAGGGGCTGCTGGAGGAGTCGGATGGTGAGGGGGAGCCGGGCCAGGGCGAGGAGCTGGAGGCTGGGGATGCTGAGGTCTGTCCCACGCCCGCCCGCCTGGTCACCACGGAGAAGAAGACGGAGCAGCAGCGGCGGCGGGAGAAGGCTGCACGCAGGCTGGTGAGCACCTGGGCTGGTGGGGCCAGCCTCTGATTCCTCGCCCCTTGCTTCCTCCCACCCAAGGGCTGTCTTGGGTGCCGCAGCAGCCTGCCCGCCCAGGCCCAAGTGTGGCCCGTGATTTGAGCTGTTTGGGATCCTCACAGCTGAGACCCATTTTCCAGCCTCCTCCAGGCAGGGCTCTGGGCTGGGGTGGGACAGGGGTCCCTGGCGCTTCTGTTTGAGGAGCAGGGTGGGGGGAGGTTTCTGCACCGAAGACCGGAGGAGAGATAACGAAGGGGGTTTCTGCAAACAGCTGCTGGGAAGGCACTGGAGTGGCTGCGGACCGGGTCAGGAAGGGCCTCTTGGGGGGGCAGGTTTGTGGGGGAGGGTTCCCTGTGTAGAGGGGAGGCCTCCCTGGTAGGCAGCACTCACCTGGGTCCTGACCCTGCTCGTCTCCATAGCGGGCACAGCAGGCAGCGTTGCGGGCCGCCCGGCTGCGGCACCAGGAGCTGTTCCGGCTGCGCGGGATCAAGGCACAGGTGGCCCTGAGGCTGGCGGAGCTGGCGCGGCGGCGGAGGCAGCGTCAGGCACGGCGGGAGGCTGAGGCCGACAAGCCCCGAAGGCTCGGTCGTCTCAAGTGAGAACCACACCGGGGAAAACGGGAGAGGCTGGGGGGCCCTCCCCTTCCTGCCTTTGTTCAGGAGCTGTCCCCCGGCTGGGAGACCACCTCTTCCGCGACAAAGCCACATGTTCTGAGGCTCCTTCTTCTCCAGGATGGGCCTTCGGACTGGATGTCCTGGGCCCTCGGGGGTGATATTTCTGAACCCCCGCCCTGTTCTGCAGGTACCAGGCACCCGACATCGACGTGCAGCTCAGCTCGGAGCTGACCGGCTCACTCAGGACTCTGAAGGTTCGAGCCCCGTGCCGCCATGGAGCCCCGTGCCCGGTGATGACACCATCCTTGCTCCCCCGTGCCCCCTGAGGGGCTGTGGGCGACACCATGGCTGCCCCCAGGCTGGGCCAGTGGGGCCAATGCCTGGGGGACTGAGGGCACGGGGTGCTGGGGTGGGATCCCAGGGTGGGGGCCAGGCTAGTGTTCCAGTCTGGGACCCTAAGAAGGCTTTCCCTTCCAGCTGGTCTCTGTTGCCATACCTGTCAGCTTTAGGAGTAGAGGGCCCTTCCTGAAGTTCAGAACCAACCCTGTCCCTCCCCTGCTCAGAACCTGCTGTGGCTCCCCTGTTCTGCCAAGGAAACGCAGCTCCTCTGTCAGCCACACGCCTGGCCCGGCCCGGCCCGGCCACGGGGCTCCGGCCAGCTGTGCTCATAAGCGGACTGCACCTTCTCCCTCTGACCTGGCTTTTGCCCCTGCGGCCCCCTCTTCTGTGTCATCACCAGCCCCCTTCCCGTGACTCCTCCAAGCCCAGCTCAGAGATGGCCACGTGTTAATGGCTGCCGTCCCACCGCTGAGCCTCAGCAGCTGAGGGCCAGGCTGAGTCCCTGGCGCCCACCAAGCTGCCCTGGGGAGACTACCTGGGGCTGAGCCCTGCCAGGACCCCGAGGAGAGGTCTCAGACCCTCTGGCTTCTTCCAGGCCCTGCTGAGGCCTCTGTCTCTGTTCCACAGCCCGAGGGCCACATCCTTCGAGACCGGTTCAAGAGCTTCCAGAGGAGGAATATGATCGAACCTCGGGAGAGAGCCAAGTGAGGGGCGCCCGGGGCTGCTGGGGGGGGGCGGCGCCCGGGGCTGCTGGGGGGGGGAGGGGCGCCCGGGGCTGCTGTAGAGGGGAGGGCGTCTGGAATCGGCCCCGGCACTGATTGCTCCACTGTCCCTGCTCCAGGTTCAAGCGCAAGTACAAGGTGAAGCTGGTGGAGAAGCGGGCATTCCGCGAGATCCAGTGAGTCCACCCGGCTTCAGCACAAGGGAGGGAGCCATCTCCCGCCCCGAGGTGCCCACTGAGGCCCAGGCCCCTCCCAGAGTGTGGCCGGTGTCTGTGTCACGTCCCCTTGGCCACGCTCAGAAGAGGGCCTGAAACTAGAGCTGGGGGGCTGGAGGGTCCCTAAAGGAAAATTGAAAGGCAGGGGGTGTCAGGTGGGCAGGGGCCGTGGGGCATCCTCTCACCCGCCCTCAGCCCCTGTCGTCCGTCCCCAGGTTGTAGCTCCCAGCAGATGCCGGAGCCCCGCCCTTCAATAAAAAGTTCCTTGTAGCCGCTGAGCGGGCTTCGCGTGTGGCTTGTGTGCCTCCTGTGGGCGGCCGCTCCCAGGCGCAGACTGCGCATGCTCCCACCCTGTGGTGCACAAGCATGTAGGTCCCAGAACTCACCACCAGAGCCTGTTGAGGTCCCAGGTTGTGTCCGAAGGGGTCCTCAGCCGACTGGATTTTGCCCTCCCTAATGGCAGTGAGGTTGGCAGCCCTTCTGATCCAAGGCAGATCCTAAATCGCCAGCAAGCAGAGGGTGCAGGGCTTGGAGCCTGACCAGAGGTGGGGGTGAGGAAGAGGTTCCCCCACTGGATTCTTGCTTGGGTAATAGCCCAGTTCTGCTGCGGGTGACAGCTGCTCTCAACGCAGTGACAGTAGACGGAGCGGCAGCAGCTGACCTCTGCCGAGCACCTGCCGACAGGTTTAAGCAGTGGATTCACCATTGAAGTCTTCACAGCAGCCTCATTAAGGAGGGCTGTGCTTTTTCCCGTTTTAAAGGTGAGGGAGCAAGGCTGGGCACGGTGGCTCACGGCTGTAATCCCAGCACTTCCGGAGGCTGAGGCGGGCAGATCGCTTGAGAGCAGCCTGGGCAACATAGCCAGACCGTGTCTCTACCAAAAATTAGCCAGGTGTGGTGGCAGACAACTGGTCCCAGCTACTGGGGAGGCTGAGGTGGGAGGATCACAGCCTAGGAGGCAGAGGCTGCAGTGAGCCATGATCACGCCACTGCACTGCAGCCTGGGTGACAGAGGGAGACTTGTATCAAAAACCTAAGTAACAAAGGTGAGGAAACTGAGGCACATGAAATGATGTCATTTTCCCCCATTCCATGCCTATTTTAAAAACATGTTTCAAAAATCTGTTTTACAAGAAACGAACTTTCTCTCACTATAAATCATTGTCAGAACGTGTGTGTCACTGGTGGCCTTTGCCCTCCAGTTGCATCCACACCCCTGTTGTGGAGGTGCTTGTCAGGCAGTCGATGCAGGGTTCTGTGTGGTGATGCCCCGTGTGTGATTCTATTAAATCACATAATCAGGCTGGGCATGGCGGCTCTCGCCTGTAATCCTAGCACTTTGGGAGGCCGAGGCGGGCGGATCACCTGAGGTCAGGAGTTCAAGACCAGCCTGACCAACATGAAGAAACCCTGTCTACCAAAAATATACAAAAGTTGATCGACGTGGTGGCACATGCCTATAATCCCAGGTACTTGGGAGGCTGAGGCAGGAGAATCACTTGAACTCGGGAGGTGGAGGTTGCAGTAAGCCAAGATTGCGTCACTGCACTCCAGCCTGGGGGCAAGAGTGAAACTCTGTCTCAAAAAATAAGTTACATAATTGATTAGCTGGGCATGGTGGTGTGCACCTGTAGTTTCAGCTCCTGAGGAGGCTGAGGCAGGAAAATCGCTTGAGCCTGGGAGGTGGAGGCTGTAGTGAGCTGAGATTGTGCCACTGCACTCTTCCGGATGACAAAACAAGACCCTGTCTCGACCCCTCAGCCCCCGAAAAAACTAACGTTTCACGCAAGTTCCTGTGAGGATAGAACTGGTTTTCTCTGTCTTAGGATCACACCGTGCGTGGTTCTGCAGCTTGCTGTCCGTGCATTTTGTGTCTGTACAGAGCTGCTCCTGTTTTGTAGCTGCGTGGATTCCCATTACGTGGGCGTGCTTTGTGTTACTTAACCAGGCCTGTGAGGCTCCTAATGAACCTGAAACAATGCCTTTGTCCACATGCCTTCTCTCGCGCATCTGTAGATAAGTACCTGGAAGTGAATCTCAGCTGAAGGGTACACGTGCCTGTAAGAGGTCATTTGATGGATTCAACCCATTGCTCTCCACATGAGCTGTGCTGGTGTTTACTCTCCGGTAGTGACGGAGGAGCCGGCCTGTAGCTTTGCTACTGTGTGATCTCACTGTTTTTATTTGATTACGCCTGGTTACCAGTGCAGTTGAACATCTCTCTTTTTTCTTTTTGAGGTAGGGTTGCCCAGGCTACAGTGCAGTGGCGCAGTCCCGGCTTCTTGGCTCCCTGCAGTCTTGACCTCCTGGGCTCAAGTGGTTCTCCCACTTCAGCCTCCCGAGTAGCTGGAACTACAGGCTCGCGCCACCACGCCCAGCTAATTTTTGTATCTTTTAGTAGAGATGGGGTTTCACCATGTTGGCCTGGTTGGTCTCGATCTCTTGACCTCATGATCCTCCTGCCTCGGCCTCCCAAAGTGCTGGGGTTACAGGCATGAGCCTGTACTGGGGTTACTGGCCAAGCAGACAGTTTATAAAAAGAAATGGATGGCCAGGCGCAGGTGGCTCACGCCTGTAATCCTAGCACTTTGGGAGGCCGAGGTGGGCGGATCATCTGAGATCAGGAGTTCGGGATCAGCCTGACCAACATGGAGAAATCCTGTCTCTACTAAAAATACAAAATCAGCCGAGTGTGGTGGTGCATGCCTGTAATCCCAGCTACCTGGGAAGCTGAGGCAGGAGAATCACTTAAACCCAGGAGGCGGAGATTGTAGTGAGCCAAGATCATGCCACTGCACTCCAGCCTGGGTGACAAGAGTGAAACTCTGTCTCAGAAGAAGAATTAAAAAAAAAAAAACGAAAGCCATCTGCTAAGGAGGCCAGCCTCTGACCCAGTGACGCTGCCCAGGGTGACTGAAGGGACCTGGAAATAGGCAGAAAGCTCTTAATGGCAGGAGACTGCCATTGGGCATCTGTCCCGTTCCTGGATACCTGAGGGTGAGGGTGGTCACAGCTACTCAAGGACAAACTCTGAGGCCTAGTGTCCTCAGGAAGTCCTTGGTATTTAATTGCCTGGGAGAATGCCTCCGTTCCTGTGTGTGAAATGGGGAATCCCCGGCAAAGGTGTTTGTGGGTCTCAGTGCATGGAAATGGTATTTCACATCTGAATTTTATGTCAAAAGCCTTAAAACTACTGGCTCACCCCTGTAATCCCATCACTTTGGGAGGCCCAGGCAGGAGGATTGCCTGAGGCCAGGAACTGGAGATCACCCTGGGCAACATAGCGAGACTCCATCTCTATAAAAAAAAAAGGTTTTAGGCCGGAGCAGTGGCTCACGCTTGTAATCCTAGAACTTTGGGAGGCTGAGGAGGGTGGATTGCTTGAGCCCAGGAGTTTGAGACCAGCCTGGGCAACATGGCAAAACCCCATTGGTTTCTACAAAAGATAGAAAAAAGTAGCTGGGCATGGTGGTGCACACCTGTAGTCCCAACTACTCAGGAGGCTGAGGTGGGAGGATCGCTTGAGCTCCGGAGTTTGAGGTTGCAGTGAACCAAAACAGCCACTGCACTTCCCCGAGTGACACAATGAGACCCTGTCTTTTAAAAAAGAAAAAAATAGCCGGGCGTGGTGGCTTACGCCTGTAATCCCAGCACTTTGGGAGGCCGAGGCGGGTGGATCACGAGGTCAAGAGATCGAGACCATCCTGGTCAACATGGTGAAACCCCGTCTCTACTAAAAATACAAAACATTAGCTGGGCATGGTGGCGCGTGCCTGTAATCCCAGCTACTCAGGAGGCTGAGGCAGGAGAATTGCCTGAACCTAGGAGACGGAGGTTGCGGTGAGCCGAGCTCGCGCCATTGCACTCCAGCCTGGGTAACGAGAGTGAAACTGTCTCAAAAAAAAAAAAAAAAAAAAAGATGTGGAAACTTGCAGTTTGTGCCAAAGACTCCTCACCAATGCTCTGACCCTTTGGCCCAGTGATTGCACGGTTGGGAACTTGGCCTATGGAAACAGCCGGAAGTTGGGGAAGAGCATTTTGCACAGGCTGGTTCTTGAGAGCGTTCTGCAGAATGGGAGGAAACATGGTCATGGACACGAGGTGGGCCCGGGTCATGTGGGCGCGGCCTCTGTGGTCGTTAACCGACGGGTGGGAAGCGCCTGCAGCCACTGGGAGGTGTTGGTGTTTGGACGCCTTGTGGGAAAAAGCAAACAGGATTTGCCGCCCTCCACGCTGGCATTCATCAGACAAGAACCCCGTGCCAGAAGTCTCTTGGGTGGGAGGATTTCAGAGGACTCCTTATTCTTTTTTCCAGCATTTCCAGCTTGTTTGTTTGTGTTTTGTTTTGTTTTGAGATGGTGTCTCACTCTGTCCACACAAGGCTGGAAGTACCCCAGGAGGGTCGGCCAGGAGGCGGGGGCAGGGTGTCCATTGCCTGAGCTGCTTGGGGTGTTCAGGGCTGGGAGCACCCTCATAGCACCGCTGTGGCCCTCCGCAATCGCTATTGCCCCCATTCCCTGATCCTGTGTGAACGTCAAATGCAGGGTCTCCCAGGTTCAAGGATAATCCGGATGTGGGAGACAGTGGCCGCCAGGAGGCGCCGTGAGCCCGCTCCAGGAACCAGACAGTCTGGAAGGTCCGCGGCCCTAACTCTCCTCTCACTCCTACTCAGGACCCCTGAGAGGGCCACTCGGCGGGGGTTTCTGACCTGGAGAGTTGGGGACGGGGGTTCAAGGCAGAGGGCGAGTGGGACAGAAGGCTGTGGGTTCTGGCAGTGGGCCTGGAGGTGGATAGGGGTCTCTGGCCATGAGGGCCATGTGCCAACCATGGTGAGAAGTTGCTGAGTCTGATCTGTCTGTACAAACCCTTGTTGCTTTTCAGTCAGCAAGGGTGTCAGGCTTCACCCCTAACAACCTGTCTTCTCCCCCGTCGACACTCTGTGACCTTACCTAGAGCCCCTGGGGGCTAGCAGGAATCTTCCCCTCTCCAGGGACGGAATCTCAGGGTGTCACATATCCCGAAGCTGTGATGGTCTAGGATTCCATGTAGAGGCTCTGGGCTTCCAGTCCTGCGAGCCACCAGAGGCAGCAGGGAACCTAAGGAAGGAGAGTCAGGAGAGAGAGGGAGACAGACTCAGGGAGATGCCATCAGAACACCTGGATCCAGCTGTGCCTGAAGCCCTCCCTTGGGCTTTTTAGTAACAGGAGCCAAGTGCTTAAGCCAATCACAACTTGGGTCAGATACTTATGACCAGATACTTATCTGAAACATGTCCT